GACTGGTTCTTGCCTTGAAATTATTCTTAAATGTGTCCTTGAGTCAGCTTGGTTTGATCCTCCATGATATTTCACTTTAAAACGGTGTTAAAATGAACTCGTAGAATTCTTTGATCTACTTCTTGTACTTCGTGTTGCATGTACAAGTCATTTTTTAGTTGTGGTTCCTTTCTTCGATCAGTTTGGCTAGGGCCTAAGATATCATCTTCATGATCATCATATTCGTTGCAAAATGAGATTCTAATTTATATATCTAAATTCCATATTAATAAAGAGACCGTTTATTTCATGCATTTTTTATGTGTTCATCAACCAAATAGAAGATGATTCATTTGATAAGTGATGATATTAAGAGTCTCATCTCCCTATATGAAGCATCCTTTCTTGCGACGAAAAGGGATACTAAATTGCATAAAAGTCATTAGGCCTTATGCAAACCAACAATTAAGAAAATTTGTTGATAGTCATGATCATGATCACGCTCACAATATTAAGGCCCTCGAGATGGCCATCCAAGAGCTAGAGATGTCATACCATCGGAGAATGAAAAGGCTAGAGACAAGACGGTACATCAATGCATACACAAATAAACATGATGTCTTGATTGAATTGATTTAGAGTTGAGAATCTGAATTTCATTAAATCTACTGCAATACATTGTTGCCAACAAAACAGTAACGAGATTGATACATAAACTATGAGGAAAAAAACCCTAATTAGCTTCTTAAAAAGTCTAAGAAAAAGACCAACTAAATTGAAACCCTAATTAGGCTTCCAACACGGATTAACCAAACCATCACAACCACAAAACATAATTGCCAACCGTATAATTAAACCTCTCTCAAGTTATCAACAGCTTGACGGCAAAGAGGGCATGAATTCTGTTGTTGACCTAACCACTTGTTGAGACATTGTTCATGAAACAGATGCCCACAATTAGGCAACTGGCTGATGGGGCTGGTCTTCGATTCCGACATAGTCTCCAAACAGATCGCACAGGTCTCTTGGTCCGTCGAAGGAGCAGGCACGACGAGGTACTCTTTCTGGGTAAGTTTCACAACGATGATCATGTACAAGGTTCGCTGTGACAAGTCTCTCCCTTTGGCTTGGGCAATAATCTCATCAGAAACTAGTCGAGACAAGAGAGGATCGTGGAGATGCTTGCGGAGATGTCGTAAGACGTAGTTTGGTCTGAGATTTTGGAACCCGAGAGAGATTAACGGGTCGGGAGGAGAAGAACAAGGGTAAGATCGGAATAAGAGAGATTGTTGTTGTGATCGTGAAGAAAAAATTAAAATTGAGGAGTGTGTGTATATATAAGAAAATGCAATTTCCTTTTCTTCACCAGGATGTATCTCACCAACCCTTGGAGTTCAACGCTGTCGAACTTGTTCAGAATCCTCTCAAGGTAAATGTTTATATATTCATCTACGGGATTTTTCGGAATGTACCGATCCTCCACATGATCTTCATACCTCCATGCCAAATGTATGAGATTCGATCGCAAAAAAAACTCTCGCAAGAAATGGTACTGATTCTTTAACATTAAAAATTGGTGCCACAGGAACTAAATCAAACACACAAAGCATCGATGATTTTCTCAATAACCATATCAGTATCTATTCCTTCTGGAATTAGGACATTTTCTCCGTCCCATCCATAAGGACGGTGGGTTTCCATTGATGCGAATAAGAGAAGAAATAAGAGAGCCGAAGAAGAAAATCAGTTTCAGTGAAGAGACCGAAAAACGAAGATGGCGACTAGAACAAAAAAAATAAAGAAAATGGAGAGACGTTAAATTCTATGTTACATAGTCCTCTATTTTCTCTTTCCCATGTACCGACAACTAAACCAAACCACCAACATATACATAGGTTAAGGGTTTAACATCTTGAGTACAAAAAATGTAATAGACTTTACTATGTATAGACAGAAACAAACAGTCTAGATCTATAAAATTATGTTGCCTACAACTATCAAATTAAAATAATGTTCTAAAATACCAATTGATCATGAAACAAATAGAAACAACAGAGTTAAGACAATCATTAGTTAACTTAATTAAAATCACATGGTTACGTTATTGATTTGACACTTAAAAACAGGAGAAAGCAAAATATCTTTGCCACCGTTGCAGTTTCTGTCCACGTAATCTCCACCGGGCAATCATGACTCAGCATCAAAAAGGTTAGAAGAGTAAATTATCTGGTCAACACGTTATTGAGTTAATTATCGGAAAAACATGAATATATCCTCCATTTATTGGGCCAATATGTATATTGGACAAATTGTTCCAT